ATTAGGAAACCGCCTTCTGTGGTCTAATGAAATCATTATACGTAGTTGACAAGCACTAATTCTAAGCGCAATAAACATTTTGGACTAAAATCACGCACTTAAAAAGATTCAATTACATTCGCTAAAAAAACTTATCCATAAATAAAAGCTCTCGAAGTTTTAATAATTATATAAATAAAAAACTATATATACTATATCATACAAAAACTAAATCGTTTATTGATGTCTACTTTGACTATTTCGAAATGAAATTATAATTGAGCTAAAATACTCGTGCATCATGTTCATAATGATATATATAAATAAGTATGCGAAAAAATAAATTTCTAGGTAAAAACCAAGTCAATAAATGAGATGAATAAACGTCCACGGTGTTAATCAGCGCTACTTTTATATCTAACATGTTATTTTTTTTTAAAAAAATACTAGTACATTAAAAATAGATGAATCAATGAATCAATTAACAAATATAGTATGAATCTTTTCAAAATCAGAGGGATTTTTAAGATTAATATTATGTGTATGCATATTGTTGGAATCTAAAAGAGGAAGTCGTATCCGTCCAATATAAGAGGAAGAAGATTGAGTATCTACAACACCATTCTAAATATTTGATATTACATGTTAAATGGTTGGAGGAAAAAAAAAAAAAAAAAAAAAAAAAAAAACAAACAACATACCTTTGAGGGCTTCTGAGGTTTTTGCAGGCTTGTCTTGCCCAACTGTTGTAGTTTTGACTTCAAGTCGTTGCTTCGTTTTTGGAGCGTGTACATTGCAGATTGCTGTATTTGATATTGATAAACCGGTGTTTTCTGTACCGACTGCCATTTATTTTTGTTTTCTAATGTTTTGGTAATATGAACAACACGAGGCGACGAACTCTTGGAACGGAAGTCCTATAATCCGAATGTCAAATTAATATGTGGCTGTCAAATAAATTAAACCAAAAATTAAATACAATGAATGAAATGAATACTTTAAGCAATGATTTGGCTTCCTGCGCAATATTCGATAAATGTTCACTATTATTTTGATTTTGAATACTGCGAGATCTCTTAGGTTGCAGATGCCAATTCAACACACTCAATGCATCCTTTCCTTTCAGGTGAGAATTCTCGGCTCTTAAATAGCGAACCGCGAATTTTAGAGATTCAATCTAAAGGGAACAAAGTAATGAGTTAAATGTGTATTGGTTGAAAGCAATAACTTGTTTTTCTATAAATACCTGGCTGGTTAAACGCTGGGTTTCTAAAGGACTGGTTTCCGATATTATCTCCATATCATCAAGATCAACATCCTCAGGATGATGATGGTGATGTTGTGGTTCGGTTTGTATTTCTGTTAAGCAACAAACATACATTAAGATATGAAAATTGAAATTGATGATTGACCCAATAATTCTAATAGGAACATATGTTCGCGCTTTTTAATTAATGATTTCCAAATTGGCTCAAATTTCATTATAGATAATGATATTTATAATAACATAAAATTTGAACCAATTTAGATTAGTAGTTTTTGAAAAATTACTTTTAATATATATATATATATATATATATTATTATTATTATTATTATTATCATTATTAAAAAAAAATTTATTAGATTCGACTGGGTCAGATCAGCATATAAAGAGAGATATGAACCTTTCCCGTCAAGTTTAGCGATCAGAGTGGAATATTGTTGATTCTGTTGTCCCAAACTCTCAAGATCCTGGTGAAGTTTACCCATAACTTCCTCAAGGTCTGATTCTTGTTTGGTTTTATTAGCAAGCTCTTCTTCTAGAGAATTAATCCTATCAGCCTGTGCATAAAAGAAAAGACATTAGAGGAAATAAATTGGTTATAAACATATATATATATATATTACCTGTTGCTTAACAATTTCCACACGTCTCTCTAGTAAACCAATTTTAACACCCGCTTCTTGCAAAGCTTGATCCTTTAAATGCATACAATCAGAGGTTAATGCAACGAAAAAAATAAATGTTAAGTCAAGCTTCATATACCTTCAATTTCATGTCTTTAAGTAATTCTTGAATTTTTTCACCAGACTGTTGCAATTTACGTTCCATATCGACATTAATAATAACCTCGGCCTTTAATTCTTTGGACCGTATAACCCATGGAGCTTCATGTTTGGTGACTTTAATGATCAGGTTTGATAAATAAATAGTTAAAATTCGAATATGACTCCTAAGCAATATGAATTATATTCCTTATTATTATTAAAAACATCAATAATACCAGTTTCTGCCTTATCAGGATCATTAATAACATTATTCAGGCCAACGATTTCTTGACATAAATCTTGCAATGTTTTTGTACAGCCTTCCCACATCTTCATTTCGTTGATACTCAATATATTTTCAGTGACAGTGTAAATAATTTGATGAAGTCCAACAAGCTTCAATTCATCTTTTGTACCTTTCTTTCCATTAATATAATCAGAAACACCCCTCCGGACCTAATTTAAAAAAATAATAATAATAATTAACATGTCTGAATAAAAAAAGTTTAAAAATATATAATCCTAACAAACCTCAAAACAGAAATTTGTTAATTTCGTGCTAATTGAATAACACGTCTTAAATTGTGCCAAAAGATCGGATTTCAAAGACGACGACTTTCCAGCCAAGTCATCAAGACGACGAAGTAACTTCCTTTAAATGAAAAATAATGATTACTAATTAATTACTACACTTTAAACGTAAATATTTTCATACCTTGCCATGACTTTGCTACTTCGAGATTGTGATACTAATGCTTGCAAAGGTTGGAAGAATCCAGAGTGGAAATCTTCAGAGCTATCAGATACAATAATTTCTAAAGAACGCATAAACATATTTTTAATAACTGATGTGTAAAGTAATCATAGATAGTTAATGATAAATTATTGATATCTGACCTTCGTCTTTACATGCTGTCGCAACAGCTTGTTTTAACTGACCAAGCGTTACTGCAATGGTATCAGCATTTAAATCCAATGCTCTGCCATATGAATAGAATTTATCAGCCTCATCGATTTTAGTGTCGGATAGATATCTTTCTGCAAAGTACTCTAATTGTGATATTGATCTGTCCGATAAAAATATGTTAGAATATATAAAAGAAATATGAATTTATTGAGACAATTACAAACCTTTGAACACTGTCAATATTTTCAGATTCTTTTAATTCTTCTTTTCTCAATAAGTCCACGATCGTGTCTATACTGTTAACATGAGATTATTATTAGTACAGAGAGAAACCCGATTGATAAAGAATAATAAAGAATAATAGGAAAGACACGGACCGACGCTCTGTTCCAATTAGATCTCGATAGACTTGACCCATATTTAAAAAGGTTTCGACGGGACAACCATTTATGAAAGTAATAAAGCGTTTGGATAAATCTGAAAACCACGCTAATTTTTGTCGTAGCTATTAATTTGGCAAACAAAATATAAATATCATAGTAAAGCCAATAAATATTAAAGAACATTCAAACATACTTCGCAAACCGAAATTAACTGTTCAGGAACGGTAGTGTTTAGTTTGTCGGGAATATTATGTATCTGATCGACCTGCTTAATAATTAATTCTGATTTGAATACGAGTCGTTTTAACAATAGCAGGCAATGGATTGAATCATTTTCGGTATGGAAGAAGGTATCAGGTAAGTAGGGCTAAAAAAATGTAAAAGAGTAACGAAGAATTATTAGAGATTTGTCAATCGTAAATCACATAATAATCTATGCAAGAACATTTATTGAATTGTTCCTACCTGAACAAAGGCCAAATGTTCAGTTGCTTGTGTGGCATCCAATTTTCGAAGTTCCAGATCAATTTGTTTGGCTTGATTCTTAAGTTCAGTATTACTTAACTGAAGTTTTAAGTCAAGCATTTTTTGAGATTCGCTACCAAGATTGTCCGTTCCTGAATTTTGATTTTCCTCCTTTCGACGAAATTGTTCCAAATCACTGCATTTTAAAACAAATTAGCTTTCTTTAATTATTTTATTTTATTTATTTGAAATATTCACCTTTGCAACGTAGCAACAAGTTCGCGGAAATTGGTGATTGTGTTTTCATAATCTGCATTTGCCTCGTCTGTTGACTCAATTCGCCTCAAATATTCACGAATAAGCGTGTCTTTGTGATCTGTGGTATAAAAAAAAAAAAAAAAAAAAAAAGTAGTTAAAATTAGTCTTTAAAATTATATGATTCATAAAGGGAATATCTTACATTCACAACGTACCGATTTCTGCTTGAAGTTGTTTCTCGTTTTCAATATGAGATTCTTCAAGTTCATCATTTAATTCTTTCAAGGCCTCAAGATCGTCAATGGTCATTTTCATTTCTTCAATTTGCTAATAGTATCCAAATTTAAAAGTGTTATTAAGATCCAATGACAAAAACTAATGTAGGCTCTAGTAATCAATTCACCTCTCCTTGTAACAGATTTTGTTGAGTAAGTTGTTCAAGCATATCTTCATTATGCATAACATCATCTAGGCGGCTCTTTAAATCTTCAATAGACATTTCAGCATGATCCAATTGGTTTTTCAGCTGATCACGATGTGCTGTCAATTAAATTAATTATTTAATCACGAGGTTGTTAAAATTTTACGAAAAAAAAATAACATAAATGTGAATTAGACGATTTAATGCGATAATAACCTTGAATATCTTGAAGAGACGATAATTCTTTTTCTAGAGCCTTGATCTTCTTATTTAGATCAGCTTCAGATTCACTTGTAACCTCACGAAGTCTATCATTATTATTATCATTATTATTATTTATAATAATAATATTGTCATTTATATCATTTTTTCAAACAGTTATAGTACCTGAACAGAGCTTCTTTAAGACGCTCATTTTGTTTCTCAAGTTGAACATATTCAATGGCTTGTCTTGTTTCATCACTTAGTCCTGAATAAATCAGTTATGATCAGATTTTATGAATGATAATACCTAAATTTCACCATACATACATAAATACATATACATATACAATACTCACCACTTTCGTGCTTTTTAAACACAGTTAAATCTACACTAATTTCCTCAATCTTTTCCTTCAACAAATTAACTTCTTGTTGTAACTGATCAGCTTTTTCTTCAGCCACTTCTTTATCAATGGCCATTATTTCCATGGATTCAGAAGCTTCATTGTATTTGCCCTCGAAAGCTTCTTTCTCGGAATTAACTTCTTTCAATTGCTTCCTAAGGTCACGTAATTCTTGTTGCATTTCTGCCATTTTGGCTAAAATATATATGATAAAAATGATGTCAGATTGATAAATAACTATTCAAAATAAATGCATGTATCAAGGTACCTTGAAGTTTTGGTTTAACACTCAATATTTGTTCAGCTTCAGCTTTCATTTTATCAGCTTCACGAATTCTCTCCCTGTCTTCTTGACGTTTATTTTCCAATATTTTAAGTTTCATTCTCAGTTCATCATACTCTTTTTGAGAAACAGTCTGATAATAGAATAGATCCACGTAAGCAAGGACTTATGAAATACTATGGAATGCATTTTTGAGGAAAAAACATGATATACTTGTTCGCGCGTTTCCTGTAAAGAAAATGGATCTGGGGCATCAGCAGTATCATGCCTTGGAGTTTCTAAATGTTTTGGCAAATCACTTTTGAGTGTTGAAGCACCGGCTTCATATTCATCATCAATATGTTCATCATTTTCAGGGTAATCCTCATTTAAATCTTGGTTATCTTGTTGGTTGAAATATAAAGAGTCAAAATCAAGTCTTTTTTGATCAGGGTTGCTGGCATCAGAATATCCACGTGGTCTTTTTTGAAATGTAGGACTATTTGGACCGCGTGGAAAACCAAATGAACCAGGCCCCCTTGATAGTCGATTAGGTATCCCAGAAATACTATTTCTATTTGATGATGGAAAAATCATTGAAGTTGGACGCTGTCTTAAAGGTGCTGCATCATTTGCATTTGGCGGGGCAAAACTTGGCGTTGACTAATTAAAATATTTGAAAAAAAAGAAATAAGAATTATTTTAACTACAGTAATTCAATATTAAAAACTTTACAAATTTTTATATAGCCTTACCGGAGTTCGAAGCGTAGGAGCCGAGTTTGAAGGTATTTTTACTTGTGAAGCTCTAACAAAAACTCCGTGATTTGGTTTACAATCAAAGTAATGCTTGCCTTTGACAGAACCATCGTTCTTTCCTGATGGACCATCCAGCTCAACACCGACCCATTTACCAGGCGCAAAATCGGTGGTTCCAATATAACGAATTATTCCGCTTTGCCCTCCTACTTCACACCTTGCACCAATCTCTAAATCTGATGTTGATGGCGTTGCCATGCCTCATTCAAACTGAATTAATATTAAGAAGTTTATGTAACTACGGTGTAAAATGTCCTATAGACAATATCACCATGTGACAATCAAATGCAAAACTAAGAATTCCCAAATATGGAAAGCTCCTGAACGTTCCAAAAAATTTATCGTTATCGCCATCACTACGTATCTCTATTTAATCATTTACAGCTGATTCTGATCTAAAAGTTGTAACCGATTCTGATAAATAATGCAATTGACTCCGATAATAAAATATAGGGGAAATTACAAATAAGGGCCCAAAATTGAAAATAATTACAAATAAGGGTCCAAAATGAAAATAATTACAGA